TTCTTTCTCTGTCTCAAATCTTTAATTTTATCAATGCAAGCAGGTTATTTGTGTTTTCTGTAGTTGCACCAGCCACTACAATACCTCTACAGACATCCACAAGAGAACTCAGCACTTCAGCTTTAAGCTCAAAAATCTCTCCTCGGCCAACATCGCAAGTGCCTCGTAAGTAACATTTTTTATAGTCGCTTTCAGTGTTCTATAAGCAATATAACCGTAAGAACTTTAAGTTGCTTTAGTATGTGACTTACTTATCTTTATATAATTATCTTGACTTCTATAGAAATTTCAAACAGAAGCATATCAATAAAAGTGGTAAAGGAAGTATCTGGAAATCTCAGTGATGCAAACTCTGACGCTTTCAAAACCTTTAGCGAAAACTTTCTTTCTGAGGTGAGTCGTGTTGAATAATTAGCACCAGTTGGCAAACCTGCAAGTGATATTTTGGTACTGGTCATATTGAAATATATACCATGAAAACTCAGTAATATAAGAAAACCGCAAAGGAAAAGACTCAAAAACCTGAGGAAGAACAAAATGAGTAAGAGAGAGAGAGAGAGAGAGAGAGAGAGATAAATAGGTGTTCGATAAAATGTAATGATTATATTAGAAAATACATTGCGTCTTTATATTTCACGATTTTCGAAAGCAACAGTGAATTCGATTCTCTAGAAGCCATATCTTAGAGGCAAAATCAAATTATATGATATTTATGTTCTATRTCATAGATCAACATTGTCTATAGAAATTTCGATAACTTTGAGGAAGCCAAGGTCACAAGAGTCAGGTATTAGACATTACCATAAAAGGCGGTAAAAAAGAGAGATGTGTTGAAGGACCAATCTTCTCCTTGCTTTATGCTTTCCACAACGYTTCTTCAATAAGTACGTCCAGTGCTAATTACTTGTATTTTTGGTTTATTTCTTAAAAGTGAGAATATTATTCCTGTGAAGTTCGTTGTTTTCTTCAAGAACACGATAAAACCAGATGAAATATGTGCTCCACTTAAAGATGAAGTAAAAGACAATAAACTTGGAAGTCTCAAGATAGTACCTGGTTCATTAGGATGCTCTAATGGTATGTTTGAAAAGAAGATGACTGAGTGACTGACTGGTTGACTGTAGTGGTGAAAAGAGAAAAATGTACTATTATACTATTGTACTGAATAAATTAAATATGAAATATTTCAGAACCCAGCTTCCCCAAGAATCAATCAAGTTCTGCTTGCACATGTAAGTAAAAATGAAAAAATGGTGACTATCAATGACATATGACCTACTATCTATCCCACACTATTGAAAACACATGCAATCAGAATGTACAAAGTACGAGTCCCTCTTGCAATATTCCATTCTAAGCCACATAAACCATTGTATAGCCAGTATGTACGATGATCCCGTATTTAAAAGAATACTAGCTCAGTGGTTACTTTTCTACTTTTTAATCTATACTGGGGGCCATTTTGATTAACAGATCAAAAACAGTTTTCCGTGTTTGATACTCTGATCCAAACACTCGGGATGTTGAGAGATCACGAGAGGAGCGTAGGAAACCACGACGCGTAGCGGAGTGATTTCCAACTTCTCGAGCGTTCTCCAAACATCCCAAGTGTTTTGGTCAGAGTATCAAACACGGAAAACTGTTTTTGATTTGTTTTATAAAATAACAAACGCGCGAAAAGATCGAAAAAGGGCAAAGGCTAAGTAAATTCTCCCTACGTGCCGTCTTATTCAAACTGACCAATGAGCGCGCGCGATAGATTAAAAATGACGATAGCGTGTTTTGATACTCTCATCAAACATGGTTTTCGACAAATCATAGCGCGCGTAGTATCCCAATTATTTTATAAATAACATTAAAAAAAAGTGATCGACTAATTTGCCTATGCCTTCTATCTTGATGTTTTCATGCATTGATAGGCACCTCAATCATCGCGGCATGTACAACTATCATCATATTCCTGATTCTAGTTGTAGTGGTTCTGCTTTTCTATATTTGGAGAGGAAGATCAAATACCGGTTAGTCCACAAATCAGATTCAAACATATAACTAATGTCGTTCAAATTTTAAAAAGGGTAGCGAAAGAAATTCATTGTTTTTATTTGTTGTAGGAAAAGGAGCAGAAAGCAGGTACTGTTTGCTTCTTTACTTTTTTAAGTTTTCTTGTTTTTGTGTTGGTTTTTCCATTCTTGTATATTAACTTTTTCATTGTTTGCATTCGTGTTACTGCAGAGGGTCGTCAAACATACAAGACAAGGACCTTGAAAGTTATGAGGTAACCATAGATATCATGCCTGCACGAAGATATGCTTGAAAGGCTACCGTCTAAACTTGAGCCCAATTAACGCTCCAACCAAAAGACCAGTTTTWAAGCTATTGTGCGTGTGTGTTTTCGAATGGGACAGTGGGGAGGGGGAGTGCAACATCGTTATACTGAGTTAAGATTTAAAAAAACGATTTTTAATTAAGGAGGAAAAACGGAGAACCCGGAGAAAATCCTAGAATCACATTAGAGAACCAAAAAAATATATATACCTATATGACAACGATCCCGAGAATCGGAGCCATTCGCATTTTTGAAAGGCAACGCATTAGCAGCCTTTTTAAAATGACAAAAACATTGTATTGTTTAGAATGTCCATCAAGTGGAAGACACCTCACAAAGAACGACAACAAAAACAGCTCGAACGCGAAATGAAAAAGAAATTTATGAAACGATAAAAGAAAACAGAAATAAAGACACAGCTGCGACAAAAGCAAATGTGAAATCCACGCGTGGACCTTCTGTCGACGCCCAAGGTGACGTACCTCCATTGCCACAACATTACCAAGACCTTCAAATAAAGGCAACACATCCGACCCCTCTGTATGAGCCTCTGAAGCAACGCGGGGATTTTGGTAGCAAAGGAGAGCTGACTCCAGAAGATCCAAAAACATACGAACATCTGCAACAGAGTGCATCAGGAAAAGAATACCAGTCATTGAAGCGTTATAAGGATAGCGAGAGTAAAGTGTGATGCAATAACTATGCAGGTTGAATACTTTCCCACACCACAAAATAAACAAATGTTATTGAGTTTTAATATTAAAATTGTTGCAGCACGCTATCGCGTACCACCATCAATTTAATATCTAGTTGCATTTATTTACTAAATATTAAAGGTAATAAGCTGCCAACCGTATGGGAATACATTTTCTATATGAATACACTTTTTCATGTTCTGAATAAAGGGATAATGCTAATTATTACCTATTCATATCACGTGCAAAAGAAAATAAATAAATATATTTCAGTTTTCTGTGGTTATATTTACTTGTAGTGCAAACGTTACCTACTCTTAGGTAAAGACCACTTTATTTTCTGTGACATCTGCATGAGCATTCACGATAAAGTTTCACTTTATATTCAATGTTTTCTACGATAGCAAAACTAAATTTCTAGAGCTTTCCAAAACGTCTGGCATCTTGTAAAGCACCGGCAGTAAAAATGACAATCTTCTTAGGTCTTTTTGGAAAGACATTCGATGATTATACAATCTTGCATAGGAAGCAAAGATACATGGTTTTATATACCGTCATTTGTCACGTAGTCGAAGCTATTTATAGTCATGTGACAAATGAACCATATTAAAAGGGCAAGAAGGTTAACTTTGATGGCATTGATTTGCAAATCGAAATATATTAACACAATATCATATGCAAAGTAGAAAAAGGAAAGAGAGAGCTTCAGCTAGCTCGTATTTACAATTATTTCAAGTTCAAAACAAGATCTGTTCAGATCTGTTTCCCAATGTTTRGTCATGAGTTCTTCTTGTGTTTGTTGGGAATCACTATTGGAATACTTCCGCTTATCGGTTAGTGACATCCACTTCTTGTACTTCTTTTACCTACCACAAACCAAAAAGTAACACATGAATTATTCAATCTAAACTGACATTGGGTGCAATTATTTAGCAATTACCTGACAGTGACAAACAGCGTATTAATCACAATAGCTGTAATAAACTGCCTATATGTGCATTTCGATCTCATAATTAATTAAAAATTCGAGCGTCATCAATAAAGATTTATTGTTCTTTTTTTTTTCTTTCTTTCTTTCTTTTCTTTAATTTTTCCACAAGAATCGACCCTCTTTTCGAAGCACTATGAAATCAAAAGTAGTGGTGCCCGCTAGCTGAAGAATAAATAAAATATACATTGGAAATGCCTGTTTTGAAAAGCCTTTATTTACTTTAGATGGAGCTGTGAGATTTACTCAAGTCCCACCATCTATCTTGTATGTGCCTATTGGCGGAACTGCAAAGTTTGTCTGGGATTACCATGTCGATGACCGAGACAGAGAGTTTTTTACAACGTCCCCAGAATGGTATTACAGTAACAATATTAACAAGACTCGCATTGCTGCTGATGCCTTAAATTTTATAAGTGGAAAACTTCAATGGGGGTGGTATATATCACCATCATGTCCAGGAAGACTGAGACATCGACTCAGCAAGGAATCTGTTGCTACTCTAGTCATCTCAAATGTGACTAAACACGATAATGGGAAATATTCGTGTTTGCTGGTTTTAAATTCGGGACAGAACCCAAGAAGAACAACACAGCTGATAGTAACAGGTACGGTAAATACAATCTTAATGATGGTGAAGCAGTTTTATATATGTTTCATCTATGTTTGATCAAATATTAGTATTATATGTTTGATCTAGCATTAGACTTATATTTAGTGTTAGTGTTATTTGTAATGTTGTTTGTTATGTTTGTGTTTGAAATAATAATGAAAATATTAAAAATATGAAATATATGATTTAAAAAACCTGTTTGATCTAATTTAAGCATGCCATAGCTATTTAGGGTTTACGACAGCCTTTGTCGATTATAATCAGATCATAAAACTACTCTAGCTAAGATCAATAAACAAGGTAAAAGCCACTGTCTTAGATATGTCATACTTTGACCAGCATTTGTAGAACTGAAAAAGGAGAACAAAGACGATCTGAAACAAGCTTAAGGGATTAATGCTAGACCCATTATATTAATATATCCTTTAGTTTATTTATTTTTTATCGATGTTGGGGATCACGCAACTAATTTTATACAATATACTTTGACTTAGTCTCTTCTTACTGCTTATTATATTCAAACACCATAACACAGGTTAAAACGTATAGGAATTATTGAACTCCAGTAGGAAAATGATGTGACTGTCACTTTGGTCGCAGCACGTCACGCAACTAAACATTTACATAAGTTTTAACCTCTAGAAAAGGTTACACCGAAGAATATTAAACGAAAGGCACCCAAAAGCAGACAAATCTGAGCAGATTTATTTATGTGCAATAACATTCACATAACGCCTGATATATACTGGAAAAACGATCACAACTCAAATTTAAKAGCGATAAACCCTTTAACAAAACATGTATGTAATTTCATTGAGCTATGTAGCTCTGATTCTACAGTTATTTCCGCCTGTTGGTGAGTTGAAGAGAAATGTATTCATTAAGTGCAGTTCATTACTTTGACTTAAAGGTCATGAAAATTTAGTCTAGAAGAAGATTATTAAGTATAATAATAATGTCATCACTAGGTTATACGTATCTATATCCCGCAAAACATAAAGAAACTAAGTTATAAAAATATGTGGGCACTAAATTGTTAATTGCCGTGTTTCAACGGAAGTTTTATTCTGTGTTTTATCAATATATTTTTTAAAAGGGAGCCCACTAATATAAGAGTAACGCTATCAACAGGAGTACAGACACTCCATTGTTTACAATCAAAATAAGAAAACCGTGAACACCTAAAATATGTTTTTTGTTAAACATCGTATTGCGTCCAATCCGATGCGAGAATGGATTCATTTTTTATTAACTGTCGCATGTGATTGGTCAGAATACGATGTCTAACAGAAGGGTTTTGCCGAATTTGATGTTTTCGCATAAATATCTACTATTCTATACTTAATCATATTATGTATTTTATAATATAACGATTCTTATTAGTAGATTTGTACGTTTCATTTGTTGTTAATGGTCAACCATCTGTTTTTGTTTACGCCTTTTGAAAGTGCCCATATCCAGTCCTGGTCTACTAACAAGAGAGGTTGGACAAGATGTGGTGTTCATGTTTAATGCTACCAACATAGAGGTAGTCAACTGGGGAATACGAGATGGCAACACTAACAATCTGAAACAAGGACTTATCAACTACAATATAGCAGATGGAATACAGTTAGATAAAAAGATCAATTCAACGAGTTACGCAGGAAGAGTCAGTTTTGTTGGTGATATGTCAAAGGGTCAGGCTTGGTTCAAGATCACAAACCTTAACATCAATGACACCAATCAGTACATGGCACTGATTGCAACACAGGGAGCATCAGCACCTCAACCTGTACCAGTACAGTTAACTGTGACACAACCCGGTCAGAAAATGTCTTTGTGCTTTAAATTATATATGTGTTTAGGTCTAGGATAATTTAGAGTTCCATTTTTAGTAAGTATAGTGCTCTTTCCTGAAAGGAAAATGAGGTAAAAAATCATTCCAATTCAAACTGCAATAGTATTATGTTCATTTGCTCCAATAATGTCTACTTTTTTTGTCATTGTCATCATTTTTTTTTTTTTTTTTTAGTTTTTCATTTACTTTCTTTCTTTTTCTTTCTTTTCTTTTCTTTTTCCTTTGTAACAATTTCAGCACCAACTAAAAAACCTATCCGGACTTCAACCACGGCAATCACATCATTTGTATCAAGCACAATATCGTCAATTGCACCGAGGAACATAACGTCAAGTGCACCGAGGAATATAACTTCGACAACACACTCTCGTGAGTAATCAGTCTGAGACTAGTTAGCACTGTCTGCCAATTCTGTACTTTTTATTCCTCGTCGTCTTTCAAGCAAAACATGATTTATTTTGAATATTCTTGGCGGATAGTATGTATTGTTACTTTTAATATTTTGAAACTAACAATAAACAAGCATTTTTTTGTTTTTTGTTTTAGTACCCGGAACGAGTATTACTGAGAATCAATCAAAGCCTAATGGAACATGTAAGTATGCAGCTGTACACATCAATTAAAGACGTCTGTCATCACGTCATCATTTGAGCAAGCTACAAAAATGTTGAAATGTATTGCTAAAGCAAATTGTATGCACTCGTTTTTATAGTGTGCAATAGTTACCTTTATCACTGCGCTTACTCCAATGCCATACTTAGTAAATATGCATATTGTTCATTTTTGTAGGTACCTCAATCATCGCAGCATGTGTCACTATCATCGTTATTCTTGTTGTTGTCGTCGTGGTCTTAATCGTCTACATTTGGAAAGGAAAAGGTAAAAATGGAAACTAAACACACCTTTTATTATCGACACTGAATGATTTACAATCAAACCTTCTCAAAAACATCAATTTTGTTCAGTTTATTGTAGTCAAAATATTTAAATGTATACAAATTTATTTTTCATATTCTAGAAAAATCAGCAAGGAAAAGGTATTTTTTGATGTAACTTTTTATCTGTCGTTCTTCCAAATTTTCTCTCTGCTGGGTTTTTATCCTTTATTCGTTTACTGGTATGTTTATTTGTTTGCTCGAATGCAATAGAATAAAGTTCTTAAGTGTTTATTAGCATAATGTACTTTGGTTTATTATTTATCACTGCAGAAGTCTGTCAAGTATTAAAGGGGAGAACCTTGAGGCTTACGAGGTAAATGTATTGTCTTAACTATGGAAACGCTCTTTCATCGCAACAAAGTTATATCTTTACAACACCTATTATCTGTATACTAATATTACCATGACTACAGTGTATGCATAGACTATATGCAAATATATTAAATATAATGTACTATGATACCAGCAAATGCACAGCAAGTGTGTTGTAGAATTAGAAAATACGTCTACCGTAAGGGGCCCATTTTGAAATTCAACAAAAATCCCTTTTTTTATTTATTATTTTATTTTATTTAGATAAATAAAATAATATTAAAAAACAAAAATCCCTTAATTAAATGGTTTTGTTGTGAAGTGTGATCGTCTGAGTGAGTGTAGTCCTGAGAAAAACATTTGGTTGTGACTGACGTTTCAACAACCTGAGCGGAAGTCATCTTCAGAGTCCAGTGAGAAAACGAGAGAGAGAGAGAGATGTTATCAAAAGTTTTTTTTTTCTTTATCAAAATAAGTTTGTAATCTTGCTACGCCTTTTGTAGCAAAATAATAGGTTCTTAATATTTATAGGTTTAAAATGATGCACGCGCGAGAAAGTTTGTTTGTACTAACTGAGATTTCTTGAGATCTGTGGAAATTTTTCATTTTCATTTTTTCCATTTTTTTTTTTTTCAATGTAGAATGCTAATCAGATGGACGACGCCAATATCCATAAATCAGCCAAGCCAAGAATTGCCGAAAAGGAAATTTATGAAACAATTTGTGAAAAAAAAGATGAAGGTGCCAACACTGAACTCGCTCACCATGGTATTGGTGCTTTGGCTGTAAATGAGATGACTACGATTAACTCCTCAGCCCCCATTGCACGTGGTCAAGACCCCGCGCATTCATTGCCACAACATTACCAAGGTCTCTCAAATGTAGCAAGAACCCGACAGATGCCATTATACGAGCCTCTCAATAAACGCAACACTAGGCAGAGCACTGATGCGGCTGATAATCCTAGAACATACGAACAACTGCAGCAGAATTTGACAAGACGAGAGTACCAGTCGTTGCAAATCACTCCAAACAAAGGAGAAAGCAAAGTGTAGTATTTGTTTTCTTTGTCCCGAATCAAAAGTATTAAAAAGGGTTGCTTACGTGTTCAATGTTGGCAATTGAAGTATCTTTTCGTTGCAAGTAATACACCAAAAGAGGGGGTCATTTTTCTTTGACGAACAAGGGGGGGGGGGGGGGG